CTAAACAAGATAGCCAAGGTGTGCTTCTCCCCAGCCTGTCCTCCATCTCTTTGAGGTAAAGCAGGGGTCCCTGGTGAAGGCCACATTTTAAAAAAGTGTTGTTGTAGTTTTGACCCCTAGACTTTTTCTCATCTTCATGCGCGTTGGGTGAAGTTGTGCCAGAAATTGCTACTCAAATATCAAGCAAGCCCCAGGAAGAGCCCTGTGCTTTAAAGCCAATTTGACATAGTGGCCTAATTGTGAAATTGCAGCAATGACATCTGACATTTTTTCACAACCCCTGCAAAATGACTTGTTTCACTTCAGGAATTGATCCTTTCGGTTCAGTAACTTACTCCCAAGCCAGAGTAAACAAACCACTTATTTTCTGGCATCATAATTGGGTGCTTCACACTCAGCTGCAAACTGTCCCATGCGCGTCCAGAGAGTGTACATATTTAATGAGCTGGTTGCCATAAAATTTGCAGTTATGCTCCCAAGTAGTGACACCTTTAGAGAAAATAACGATATTGGGCCTGAGAACCTTACTCATGACATTCATGCTCCCAATAGGATCAGTCCTTTTGATACACACTGAGCACATGACCTTTCTCAAAAGAAAAATTGCTAAATTATTAACATGTCATTCACTTTCCTCAATAATTTAATACAGGGAGGTTGACCATTGTTGACTGTCAGCTATTTAGACTATATGTATTGTTTTGGCATTTACATGGAACCTGTGGGGTCAGTACCTTAATGGCTTTGCATTGAGTTGTTGCACATTTATATACACCCAAGTCACCAATGCTGTTATTTAGTCTAGAAATCCCTCTTGGCTGTTGTTCTAATAGAGGAATCCATACATTCCAGCTGCTTCCTTGGTTTTGTATGTCCAGCAGACAGATGGCATGTTACTAAGTGGTTAAATGTGCAGAACTACTCATGGTAGCACATTCACAATATCAATATACGCATGGTATCATATGACACTAACAGGGCTCTTATTAGAGTTGTTCCGATTCCGATACCAGTATCAGAAATGTCTCCAATACTGCCGAAAATGCTGGCATCGGTATCGGCGAGTACTGGAGTCCAGGCACCGATCCGATACCACGTAATTTATTAAAATAGGAATCTATTTACTGGTTAGCTCCGTTAGCTCTGACACAGTTCTTCTTCGCTGCTCTTAAAACAGTTGCGCTGTGCTGCAACCTGCAGCCTGCTGTTTTAGAGGGGCGAGGAAGAATTGATCACCTGACACCTGTTAGACAAGGAGCTAACTAGCACTAGCATGTTGGCGGTGTACGGACACAACAGGATCACACACATAGTCAGAGCCGGTTGATGCGAGGCTTGGACTAACTAAGTAGCACGTATCATGGTCAGCGTGCGGCAATATTTCACACTGGAATCATCTCACCCAGTGCAGACTGCGACACATAACGTGTGCAGAAGATCATCTCAAGGGGTGCACGAGGTTGCTCATTTTAACAGCAAATTAAGTTTAAGTGAGATAATATAGATATGCTATATAGATGTGTGTGACTATTACTATATATGTGTGTGTGGTGGTATAGCGTACATGAAGCGCCGTAGTAGGTAGGTATATCTTCTGGCTCGGTGGGTATAGTACGTATATGTGTATATAGTGATATGTTGTGTGTATATATACACGTATATATTATAGCTAACGTATACTATATGATAATAGTGCATATATATATTATTAGTATATATCAATATTATAGTATATATTATATATAGTATAGTGGATAGTAGTATATATATATATGATATATATGGTAGTATATGGTTATATAGAGATATGCTATATATAGTAAATAGTATGGTGATATAGTGAAGTAGTATAGTATAAATAGTATAGTATATGTAGTATAGTATAATATGCGACGTAGTATATGAGCGTACTTATATATATGTATGATTATACTACGTAGTAGTATGATATATATATATGTACTGGTATAGATATAGTTTACCTAGCGTAGTGAGTATATGGCTATGTACTGCGGGTAAGTATATATATATATAGTAGTATTGTGGTATATATGTAATATAATATAATATGAGTGTTATAGTAGGTATGATATAGTAGTATTCGTATAGTGAGTATATATATGTCGGTGTATATTATATATCTAGTGAGTATCATTATGGTGTGTAATACTATTATATATATAGTATTATATAGTGGTGTGTGGTATAGGGTATATATATATATATCATGTGAGTATAGATATATGGTATAGTTATGTGTGGTGTGTAGTGTGTATAGTATATTGTGATAGTATGTGTGGGGTATAGATACTATGTATGATATGGTATGTATTATGTATGTAGTGCTACTGTATGGTATATATGGTATATATGTATATATGAGATGTATCTATGTAGTGATGTAGGATATGTATGTTGTAGTTATATATGTGTGTATAGTATTATTTATCGTTTCAAGACTCACTTAATATACTTATGTTTGCTGACTGATTGACCTTCTGATACTGTTTTTACTACTGGTTTATTTAAAAATTAAGATGGCGTTGAATTGTGTGCGTATTTGTATTCGATGTTTTGCAAGGGTGTTAACCTGAGAGCCACGGGCTGTAGGCCACATATTGATAAGTCATATCACCGTCTATGCAGTCGTTCTGGCTGGGCCGCGGGGGTAGTATGATATTTTGTTTATAACATACTGGTATCGGATCGGTACTCGGGTATGGCCGATACCCACAGCACAAGATCTCGGAAGTCGGTATCTGGAGGAAAAAGAAATGGTATCGAAACGATCTCTATTGTTTAACCGTGTACCCAGAAAATGTAATGAAAGAGGTCTGGGAAGCAGACTCATGCAAAACCTAGATGAGTTAATAATGACGTTTGAGAATCCCCCTTTTAACCACCACGTTCCCGACAAGTCTGTCCTCGACCACACAACAAACAGGCAACATGGGACACGACCTTGCTGCATAACATGCTCTTGTCTGTCCCCTTATATTCCCTCGTCCTTTTGTTTCATGGTGGGGAAAAAAAGCAAACAAACAAAATAACAGAAACAAAATATAGAGGACAGAGACAAGTGTCTAAAGGCTAAAATAATAATTTTCACTAGTCTACTTTGTAGGTCCAACCTAAGAAATGAGATGTCATTCACCAGCTACTGACTCCATAGTTGTGAACAAGGAACTTCAATATTTGAAGTTGATCAGGTTCAATCAGGTTAGTGGTGTTGGAGAGTAATGTGTGTTCTTAATCACAAACAGCCTTTGTCTGAATACAGACAGCAGCTGCAGAGAACAGACAAACCTTTCATTGTAGCGTTAAGTTATCTTCAGCTGATCTGATGTCATCTGATGTTGTTTTTAACAAAACAACAAAAAGTAAAAAGCTGCTACCTGAATGTTTTGTGCATCACTCTTTGCTAATAAAGAGTAAGAAGAGATAAAATGTTAGAAGATATTTTCGTTGCATGGGAGCTCAATGAATGCAGTTATTCTGTCAGTGTGAACCAGCAACTGATCCTTCCCCAAATTCTTTACGATGTCACATAATCAGCCCGTCCAAAGGAAACTCTGATGCACCCAGACATTTCTCTGTCTCATGCTTTAGTATGGTGGGGTGTAAGGAACAATTCGTCATCACCACTAACCAGGCTCTAGAGGTGTAGTTAAAAAGTTTTCATTTTCAATTTCTCCATTGAAGATTTCTGTCTTCCCCTTACCGTAATACTGAATCCTTTCTAACGATACATGAATAAATGCTGCAGGGACAATAGAAGTGAAGCATGTGCAATACAACTGAAACCTTTGTTTTGTTCCTGTACAGGTTTACAAGAGGGCTAAGGCACTGGACCAGTCAGACAATGATATTTCTGCAGTCTACAGAGCCTACATTCACTAGAGCGAGGTGTGACCGATCCTCTGGACCACACAGTCTTTAATCCCTTATTATTTCTCCTCGTCATGTAATGAGTTTTTATTTTAAATTCTAGTCATTTTATTTCATTCTGCCCCCAGCGACAGCCATGTTACCTGCTCACAAATCATGGGATATTAATTCCTTGTGTTAGAAGCAACCTTGAGCATTGCACTGACTGTACTGGGAGGAGGGAGAGATATACGTTGTAAGAGTGCTACAAATGAGGTTGTACTGCTACAGTCTGCTGTGGTGGGGGGCAGTTTGTCTGGTTTCTGACAACTACCGGTAGAAGTAATGCAGGGTGTTTGGCAAGGATGTGGGGTCCAGTGCCACTGTGAAAAGCGGGCGGGGTGTCCAGCTCAAGCCAGAGAAATTGCTGTCAGGTTTTGTGGATGCACCAACCCTAAAGGTTTTTTTTTTGGTTCATGTGCAAATGAGTTTATTTAATTGAGTGTGATCTTTGCTTTTATTTTAAATGTCCAGAATTCCATGAGAGAAAAACACAAGAACATGCCACTGCATTGCCTTAATAATGTAACCCCTCGAGTCTTTTGATAATGGATGTATTTATTTCTGTTTCTTTCCAGGTCTTCTCGGTACAGTTAGGCCATGCCATGTTTCTGTATTTGACTAGATGGTTTATGCTTTTACGTTGGTGTCAGTGATCTTTCTTAAACAGGTTAAAGACAGAGCAACAGATGTGTTGAGGCCTTTAAAATGCAGTAATAATTGGTATTTCTCACCAAGACTTGAGATTACCACATTTGAAATCCTTGTGTTTTTGGAAGAGTTCTCAATTCCACTGTGTTTTTCTTTTTTAAATATGTTTTTCTGAACCCAGATAAATCCACCTGTTGCATTTTAACTGGAGGCTTTAATTTAGCCCCAATGTCATTGTGCTTTTTTCCCCCCTGGTAATTAGTGTTAAGTTGTGGTTGAGCTTTCAAGGCCAATTTTAGACCATTGTAGGTTACAAATACACAATTAAAGCCGCAGTAGGTAGTTTTTATAAAAATACTTTGTAATTTTTGCTGAAACTTTCACTTTCCTGACCGTAGTAAATGGGACAGATAATCTGGGAAAAACCGGGTCCCTAAGGAACAACCAGAGCAGAGAAAAATAGTTGATTTTTGAATCAAATAACAATAGAATTGAGTAATGTATAGTAATATATATAACATAGTAATGAGACCCAACAATCAACTATCCTCAAGCCTCCAGTCTTTTTCATCTTTCTCGGCTCTGATTGGTTGCTTTCGTTTAGGACCCGTGGATTCTTGTAAATGCCATTAGGAGCACTAGAAGGAACCAGAGGAACCTGATTTCCCCCCCCCCCAGCTATTATCTGTCTCATGTTCGACTGTCAGGATATAGTGAAAGTTTCAGCAAATATGAGAAAAAGTTATATTTATTAAAGTGACCTATTGCAGCTTTAAAAACCGAACTAAAACCATCAAGTTGGTTAGTGGTTTCATTCGTTCATTCATTCTTAAAGGCTGAAAGCTGTAGTATAAATATAACATGTTGAACTCCTCACAGGGCACTAGTAAGACAAACACAACTCACTTCAGCTAAACTGTTAATATGCTAAATAAGGAAATGCAACAGTCAGGGCCGAAACCAAATGTTAACATGGATTCTGTTTTATTATTTATTTATTTTTATATTTGCCTTAAACAGATTTCAGCTCACATAAAGGGAGGGACAGCAGGTGGTCACATCACAGGGGGGAAATCTTGATTACATAGTAGGTCTTCGCAAGTCCACCCAACAAGACTGAAACATTTCTCAATAGACATAAGGTCATGACAGATTCATCATATACGTTGGCTGATAATTGACAAGAAATGCCAGATTCCCAAATTTAAGTTAGAAATCATTTAGAAACTGTCTACATAATTTTTGACAAGTTACTTTTTTTTTTTTTTTAAAGTGAAAAGTCCTGCTCACTACATATTGTGATCACAGTACTTCAGGAGACCGATTGGAGGATTGTTAGCACATTTCTTACCTCTCAAATGTTGGTATCTGCCTCAAAAATTCAGTCCAGGTCAGCTCCGCTCAAATCCAAATGATCAGTCTAATCAGGTCAGGTCAGTCTGTTACAGCAGGTCTGAGGTCTGTGTGTCAATATGTCTATTGCCTGAGTGGATCCAAGGGGATTCTTGTCACTTCTTGTATATCACAATTGGAAAATGAACTGTAAAATGGCCTGTATTAATGTTCCTGAATCACCATATTCTGGATCAGGTCTAATTGTCCCTTTCTAAGTCCCAACCCTTTTTTCTCTATGCTCCAATAACCGTTGAGCAAGCCAAGTGAGAACCCCGGTCAACTTTCTCCTTTCCTGTTCTCTGTTATGCTATGTGCTAGGCTCGTCTTGTTGAAAAGACAACCACATTTTGAAGATGGTTAAAAGATAAAAGCAGTCAGTCAACAGTCATATCTTTTAGATAAAACGCTAGCTAGCTAGTTAGCCCTCGTTTTACTACAGACCAAACCACTAACTTGCTAATCCACATCAATCCACTTCAATCATTAGCTATTAAAGTATCAATTATTATAGCTCACCACCCCTAGTTAGTTAGCATTTTGCTAGAGAAAAAAGCCACTGACTAGCTAATCTACATCAGTCGTTAGCTAGCTAGTTACATCTGAAAGCCAATGTTAGCAAACGCTAGCTAATAACTAGGTAGTAACTAATTTACTGCTGTCAATAATTAGCCAGTTAGCTAACTTTTTGCTAACATTAGCTAACTTAACAGGTGACTATATATGTCTCTTATCTTTTAAGCATTTCCAAAGTGTGGTTGTCTTTTCAACATAGACGAGGCTAGCACCTAGCATATCTAAGTACAGGAAAGGAGTTGACCAAGGTTCCTCTGGGTACCTGATTGGAGCAAAGAGCAAAAAGGGGCGGGACTTGGGAAGAATAAACCAACATAGTGTCTTTTATTTTTTTATTGTGAACCTTAGATTTTGGAGTCTATTTTGGACACAGTTCAGAATTCTGGACCCATGAAGACCTCTACTATGTAGCCTAAAACACACCCTACAATGACAATGCCCAACATATGCCAAAGAAACGTGGCATGGCAAGAGCCGAGTTCTGTCTGTCGGTGTTCTGATAGAAGCTCAAATCAAACAAGACCACTTTAATCATCAGTCGGTGCCAGTTGGAGCACTTGTCCTGACCACTAAAAACTCCAAATAGAACACAGTGAGTCTGTGTTTGCGGGTATTATTTTTGGACTAATCATTGGGAAGTAGATGCAGAAATGGGTTAATCAAGATGTCAAACATGGCAGCAAATATGTGTCTCTTTTCCTTCAAGAATAATGTACAGAACAATATCTAATAAGAAAGACCACATCAATTGTCAACCCCACTGTCACTATCTTGGAAGTGACTGTAGCAACAAGCCCTACTGTTCTTTCACTAGAACCTGTACAGTATGCCGTTGAGACACCGGAAGCACAGAAGGACAGTGTGCACCTGCAGAAAATTGTACATGCTTCCTTTCAGCAACCTCATTGTGTTTCAGTTTTTATCAGTTTCCTCTGTAAATGAATGAAAAACAGAATCATTTAGTTGCATCTTAAGAATCAAGTGTCCCACTTTTTTCTGTTTGCCAAACAATTTCCATGTAAGGTTTTTAATTTTGGTTCCCCTTACACTCTGGTGTAAAGAACTGTTTTTAGAAGACAGATGTAAATAGCACATTAGGTTGAGTAGGGTTTATTTTATATCTACGATAACTGGGATTAATGAAAAAAACTACTTTTGCTTTGACTCTACAGAGCCACTGTCTAACATCTTTGTGTCTTAATACTGTAGATTGTTCAGTTCAAGTGTAAATGGTTTATTAATATGTGGCTTATATAATCTGGCTTATTTTTGCATTGAAATGACAATGATTTGGATCCCGTCAACAGAAGAAGGGTGTAACTTGTTTTGGGGGATATTTATGATTTTGTGTACATGTGGAAATATCAAGACTTTTGTGCTGTTTAATAAATCCTCTCCTGATTACTGACGCATCCATGTTTACTCACTACTGATCAACTGTTATGTTCTGTTAATATTATTTGGACTGCTAATTCGATTAATATTTGTTTCTCAGTGCTTTCTCTATGACTTCTATGAGTCTGGCTTTCCCAAGTCCACTGTTAAGTTCCTATCCTAATCAATAATTCACAAATATGGTTTTAAAACACAATGAAAATAGTGCATGTGTTGGGGACTATTTTCAGTGGTGGATTAATCCCTTTGTTCAGAGTACGAAAAATAAGTATCACCAGTTTTATAATTTGAGGGGCAACAAATGTGAGCTTATTAACTGTAAATGTGACAGGCCCATTATGATGTACTTGTTGAAACATTGACCATATGCCATCATCCACTTTGAAGGGAGGCCTACTACCCTGAAGGTAAGAACCCCTGAATTTGGAGGTATATTAAGACATAAGATTTAGTGGCATTGTAGGGGCAATTCTTCCATAATATTGAGTTGCTA